ACAACAGATAGCAATACAATTGTTGATCCCAGCCTCCACCCGACACTGCACCAGGCAGTTACAGTTATGAGCCCGGCTGTCGACTACACACGCTGTATCCGCTACTGCATGCCGACGAGCTATTGACTGCTGTCAACAGAGCTACGTCATCAAACCGCTACCTTTACCTTACCTTGTCAAGAGCCTCAAGCGCACTGTCCCGTACGAGAGTCGACATCTGAGAGCCGATAGAGCCTGATTCAGGATGGCTACTACCAAGCTGGATGGACTGATTACGAGGACGACAGTTATACTCAAGAAGCCTGTGGACTGGGAGGAATAGATCTTCCTACAAAAGGATAGCGCGGACAGGCATCAACTGTGGTCTATGGTCAACCCTGATCTTGATGAGGCGGCCCTTGAGAAGCTTGAGGAGCCAGCAGCCGTCAAGGCGGAGCAGTACCATGACGAGACTGAAGAGGACACCGGCGTTGTGCTCAAGGACATGACGACTGAGGAGTTCCAGCGATACCAGGAGGCGGAGCGGAACTACGATCGAGCACTGGCCAGATACACGATCAAGAGGAAAGCGTTAAATAACTTTACCCAGGAGATCGGCCGAACAATCAGCCGCTGCTATATACACCTGATTCAGAGCGACGATACTGCGTACGCTCGCTTGAAGAGGTTGAAGAAGCACCTCTGCCCATCAACAGCTGAGAGGGAGCCACAGTTAATAACCAAGTATCGACAACTACAGAGTCGACCAAGGAACAACATTGATAGTTGGCTTGAGGAGTGGCTGCACGTCGTGCGGATGTGTGAGGCAATCCATCTGCCTGATGTCACATCACCGCGAGCACAGCGCGACTTCCTGCTAGCCATCAAGGGCCTTGACGATACCTGGGCAACGACCCAGCAAGCTACATTGTTTCGAGCTCAGCTGAACGCTCAGCTGATCCCGACGTTAGACGATCTTGTGGCCGAGTTTTCCATGTACTGGCGCTCAACAAGGCCAGTGGCATCGTCGCTTGGTACATTTGCGACACTGGGCATCGATCAGAGCTCTGACAGACGATCGGACAGCGCAGAGACGCAGAGTAGCAACAAAGACAGAAGGCTTGAATGCAAGTGCGGCCTCAAGCACCGCTTCAAGGACTGTTAGTACCTTAGAGGGAAGGGCAAGCCTTAAGGCTGGACGCCGAAGCCTGATATCTAGGAAAAGTTCAGTCAAGCTATCGAGAGCTAGTCCCCAGTTGGACGAGCTATGCAGGCAGCTCTAAAGGCAAACACAGGCACAGCAGCTTTTAAAACAGCCTCGATTACACCGCGTCGATTTGACGACTGTAGTCCGACGATCAAAGACCTTGACAGCCATGTGCTACAGCTCACTATGAGCACAGACTGCACGAACAAGCAGGTAATCAAGCCAAGCCTGATCAATCGATGGATCCTAGACCCAGGATCGAACACGCATGTCACTAATACTAGAGCGTACGGCTGGAAGAAGCGAGCTGATGGGAAAGGTGAGGTTGTCAAAGCTGGCAACCAAGAGCTTCAGATACAAGAGTGGGGAGATGTGGTTCTACTCACCGACACGCCTACAGGCACAGAGCAGATAGAGCTCACCTACGTGGCTTATGTGCCAGGATTTCTCACCAACGTTGTTGGCTTATCTCGCTGTCGATCTGTTGGTATACACTTCAACTCAGGCCAAGATTGCCTGTACCAACGCAGATGGAACAACGTCATAAGCAAGCTTCAGTACATGGGCGGCCATTGGCTGATAGATGCCGACAGCATGGAGCGACCAGACGCCAGCTCCTTACTTGCAGCATCAGCTCATGCCCACAAGAAGCCCTCGTACGAGCCCAGGAAGCCACTACAGATTACGCCAGAGGAGGCTCACATCATGTGGGGTCACGCAGGCCGACAGGCGATCGATCGACTGCCGGATAGCGTAGACGGGCTGCAGCTGGTAGACGGCAACCCAGCACCAAAGTGGAAGGACTGTGAAATCTGTATACAGTCGAAATTGACGAAACTGGTCAGCCGGAGGCCACCGCGCGAGCCAGCTACCCGACCGTTCGAGCGCATCAGTATTGATCTAGTGCAGCTACTAGAGCGAGGCGAGCATTGCTATAACGGCGACCAATACCTATTCCACATGATTGACCAGGACACGAAGTGGCATGAAGGAAGCTGTATGCCAGACAAGACAAAATCTACTCTCACACGAGTCTTCAAGCGACTGCTAGCCAAGATTAAGCGGCAGTTTGATCGCCAGGTTATCATCGTGAGGCTGGACATAGAGACTGGATACGTTGAGCTGCTTGAGATATGCAGAGACCTTGGAATTGCGATTGAGCCGAGAGCGACAGAAGCTCAGAATGGAGCGATTAAGCGCGCAGGGAAGGCGATTGTGATTCGAGGCAGAGCTATCTGACTGCACGCTGGTCTACCCAAGGAGTACGCCAACAAGTGTGTCATGTCCGCAATATACCTACTCAATCGTACGCCAGTCGAAGCGATCAGCTGGAGCTGCCCATACACTAAAGTCAAGGGGATTAAGCCATTAGTTGCTCACCTTGAGGTAATTAGAGCGAGAGCCTATGTGCTTAATGAGAAGCTGCCACGCGGAGCTAAGCTCGAATCTCAAGCTCTTATCGGCCACCTGGTAGGCTTCGACTCTACCAATATCTTCTGAGTGTGGTTGCCATCCATCAGACAAGTGATACGAACCCGAGATGTTGTCTTCATTCGAGGCAAGCTCTGTGACGGCAAAGGCCAGTACGCAGAGAAGAGCTACGTTCGAGAGGCAGCAGAAGTGCTCGATATCAAGGAGGCGCTCGATTACAGCAATATATTGACAGAACAGCTGTTCTCTCGTGAGAACAAGGACAACGCTGAGGGTATCGGAGATACGGTTCATGTTCAACTACCGAATTATCAGCAGAGCCGTACTCAGCAGAAGAACACCACAGCGCTCATGACTCCAGAAGCGACACCAGATTCGCCCGAGCCGATCGAGCTCACAGGCGAGTCGCTCACTGATCAGGCGATGGATGATACTGGCTGGGGACGCGGATATGCTCTAGCTCGAGAAGGAGAAGAGCCAGACCGAACGTCCAACAACGCTGCACGACGAGGAGAGATTAGCAGCCAGGTATCAGAGCAGTTTATTATGAAGGGCAAGCGAATTCGCAAGCCAGCGACGTTTGGAACCTATCTAGCGACATTTGCAGCCTGTACCAACCCTACAGCAGCAGGAAAGCTACTCAGCGAAGCGCCGAAAACCCGACTCC